GAAGAAGCCCAAAGTAGTGGGGGTGATTGTTGTACCTTTTAGGGGTTAAAATCCATGGCTTGGTACCGCTTAGGGTGTTCAAAGCTAAAATGACCACCATTAGAGTTGTATCCTGTACCTTCTAGGGTATTAAACCTGAAAAAATATGATAATTTATGACATTGTCAGAAAATATTAATCGTACCTCTTAGGGGTGAAAATGAACTGGAGCCACGCCCACAAAACATGATTCTGGTACCTTGTGGGGTTGAATGTTCTTTTCGAAATTTCCGATGATCACCCCCATCACTTTTACATGGGAGTCCTCTCCCCCTCCCCACAACATTCTGAGCCTCCAAGTCAATCTAGAACTTGATAATGCCCATTCGTTCATACAGGCTCGCACCAGAACACTAATAATGGCAGGGCTTCTCAAGTCTGTCACGAGGAGTTCACATTCTGCAAGCTCGTCTTTACCCAGTGCATCTCATGAACATCACATGACAGTGAGCCAAGTATCCAGGGATTTCAGCTCTGTCAGCACTGCTGGACATGACAGAGGGGACCTGGTAGCATTTCTAGTTGGTGAGGCATTTTGCAGTGTTGGTTGCTCCTTGTAAGTCTTCATGAGCCTAGTGGCCCACACCTGCTGGAGCTTATCCCGGTTGCTGTAGCATGAAGCGACTTGCAGAGTATTGCTACTATCCCTGGATAGGATGGGTGCTAGTCCATCGCAGGTTACTCCCCACCAGTATTTTGTCAGGTTACCCTTGGGTAACAGTTCGCCGGTACCCATTTATACTCCTGGGTGGAGAGAGGCACTGTGAGAGTTAAGTCTAGAGCTCAAGAACACAACACAACCACCCCGGCTAGGGTTCTAACCCAGACCACTCAATCCAGTGTCCAGCGTGCTAACTATTAGGCCACCGCGCCTCCCAGTTGCACCTTGTGGATCAATGTTTTGTTTTAGCTCTTTACTGGGCTTTTGTTGTGGTTGATGGCTGGAGCCAATAGAACAGAACTGTAGAACAGCCGATGGTGGTTTTGCGGGTCTCCGATTTTGTTTTTTCTGTAGTTAAGTAGCTCTTCTTTATCTCTCAGCTAACAATAGTAATTGACTGTATTATACTTATATTTATTTTCTAAACCGTTTCTTCATTTCCTTTTCTTAAGGGGACACAGACAAGAAGAGTTACATTGGAGTAAAGTCGATCATGTCAGCTAAGAGCAAGTAAGCAACTCTAACTTTTATTTTATTATTATTAAATCTGTTACCTTTCACATGCTAAAAAAATGAATGAAGAACATAATAAAACGTAGGAAACCTCAGAATAATAGTTTGCTAAAGGTAGAAAATGCCAGAGGTTATAATAAACAAAAAGATACAAGAATGGTTAAGATTCTCTGTTGTTTGGCCTGAGGTGTTCATAGTCGATGAGTGTTGAAGAAAGCTCTCATGAGAGCCAACTCTCATCCTCATTTTCCGTGGGTTTTAGGCTCTGAGAGGCTTATAAATGTGGTGGAATTACCACAGCCTGTAATGTTAAAGTCTGAGGAACAGTGAATCAGAATGGCCTCTTATATCGGACTCCCATATAATAGTGACTGAGGTGATCATCGGAAATTTTGAAAGGAACCCCATAAAAAGCGGTACCGGAATCTCGCTTGGTGGGTGTGGCTCTGTGTGCATTTCCACCCCTAAGAGGTGCCTCCACCAGATAAATCACTATGCAGTCGACAAGTGTTAACAAAACAAACTATGCTCTCCACTGGATAGTGTTTTATCCGGTGGATAGCGTTAATATCCATTCCATCCTGCAGAAACTTAGCTTGCCGTTTTATCTTCCAACAGAGTATTTCACAGGATATTTTCTCAAGACCTTGGTCATGTTTACGCGCATTTACCAATGAACAAAACGAGCTCGTCACTAGCCCTTCCCGTGTTAAAACGCACGATCTCATGGACTCGCACCAGTCCTCTGATGCACACAGGGTTGCGCAGCGGCAAGGTGAACCTTGAGAAGCTGAGGCGAAGTCGAAGCGAGGACAGTACTTATGATGAGAGTAGCGTGACCTTAGAATCTGTCACAGATCTTGAAAACAAGAAGGAGAATGACAATACAGTGACCTCGCCACAGTTACAGTGTCAAGAGGTAACAGTTGCACTTGCTTTTGGTGGAACAGCTCTATTAGCCCCCCCCCCCCCCCCCCGACTTACTTATTTTCATGGCAGTTTGAGGGGGGAGAGGGTACCATAGAATTCCGAAAGTAGCAAGGGTCTTCAGGTGGCCGTTACTTACAGGGATTGATTGAAATTTGTGCATAGCTGATTCATTGACGCGAAACAATTCTGTGATGGAAAACAATAAAGTACTGAAAGTATTCAGTCTCCTTTGCAGACACACAGCCGTTATTTGAGTTGTCACGTTTAACTTTTACGAATCGAAGGAGACTACAAGTATTCCAGATAGACAAGCCTTGTCACTGACTAACTGGTTAACATTTTTCTCATATTTCTACCAAGCTTAAAATATACCATCATTTCTTTCCACACATTCTCACTCATCGACAGAAGTAATCCTAGCAGTATGCGGGAAGCTTGTCACATTTGAACCTACAAGTTATATGGCGTAGCAGCCACAAGTCTCCTGTAGCTCAGTGGTAGAGCGTCCGACTGGTGTGTGGAAGGAGATAGGTTGGACTCCTTTTTGGGAGAACTTGGAAATTTTCTTACCAAGTAGCTTGTGTCACTGAATGATTACAGTGAAGAGTGCCCTGCCATTGCCAATTGACAAAGTTTTTGATTAATTTTTGACAACTTTCTGATGGCTTCCATTTAAACTAGCAAATCAAATTGCAAGAACTGTGGGAGGCGGAGATGTCAATTGTCAGAACGCGAACGTGGAGCTTGACATCTCCGCCTCTCATAGTTCTTGCATTTTGATTGGCCAGTTGAAACGAAAGCCTTCAGAAAGTTGTCAAAAATTAATCAAAAACTTTGTCGAGTGGCAACGGTAGGGCAATCTTCACCGCAACATCTTTCTCGACATCTCTTTAGCCACTTGCAAGTTAGGATTGAGTTAGAAGTAACTGAAGTATTCTCAGTTCTTTGGGGTTTTTTTCTCTTCAGGTAATCATTGTTAAGCGTTTGATAGCGATGTATTTGAAGCACTACTAGAGTTTCTCCATGTTGGATCATGTGACCTAGGACCCAGGCTCTTGCCAGGGTTGCTTTCCGCAGCCCAGTATTATCAAGTGGATGGATTACAGCAAATCTGTGTTGACAACATGAAGCAAAGGAGTGTATCTCAAAGCAGCACTGTAAGTATACTATCAAGGTTTCTTCAATTTATCTTACGGTATGTCCTCGTAACCAGGGTCTTAAAATAACTAGTAAGATCATGCTGGTTGTGCTTAATACCTTGTCTCAGTTCAGGTGATCACATCATTGAATTGGCTGGTGATGTTAAGCCGTTGGCCTTATCTCCTAAATCTCCTCATACTGAAATTAGTATAGGGGACGTTAAGACGGCACATCACTGTTCAAAAACATTAGGGGACGTAGTCCCCGGTGTTATGGTCCGACCTGTTGACATGTATTCATGGATTGGGTGCTGGACTGATAGCGGCTGCCATGCTGACGTCCGATCTCACCTCTGTCTGAGTTCAAATTATAAAGCGCATTTGAACATATACACATGGAAAATGCCATTACTATTATGCTAGGAAATCAGCAGTTTCTCATGCGCATTGATTTTGCTGATCTACAGGGCTTGGTTGTTCAAAGGCCGGGGTGGATAACGCTATCCACGGATAAATCACTATCCAAAGGTTTGCGTAGTTTGTTTTGTTGACATTTATACACTGGATAGCGATTTATCCGGTGGATAGCGTTAACCACAACTGGGGCCAGAACTTGGAAAAGACAGATTGGCGAGCACTGCAGTAAAAAGCAAAATGGTGCTGCTGGAAGTTCTATCATTGCAACTGAATAGTGTCTTTGAGAGTACATCACTCCCATTGATTATCCAAACTAGAGATAGACAGAAAGGAGTGAATCAGGCAGAAACAGGTTAATAAGAAGAGGAATAATAAGAGATGGAGAAAAAGATAGCTAAGAGATCTAGAAAGACCACGAGAATGTTAGAGTGTTTGATGTAATATTTCAAACACGAGAGACAGTGTTTCATCCGATTTCCAAACACCGAGAAGAGAGTTGAAAATACGATGCGTAGAGAAGTATTTTTGACGAAATTTGAGGTATGTGGAAATGTGATGAAACACTGTTGAGAGTTTGATATATCTTTTGAAACTTTCTGGAATATCATTAATTTCACTTTCTTAGGACAAAGCATTGCGGGATGTGGTGTCCAACAATCTGATAAGTCCTCCACTGACAAGAAACATGCAGCAAGATTGCATCACTGATACACAGTGCTAGTGACCGAGTGGAAAGGACACCAGCAGAGGAATGTCATATGAATTAGAGTCTCACTACTCTGCAGATCAGTTCACGCCGGATTCCAGCCTGTCTTCACCTACAAGATGTACTCTTTCTCTGTTTATGACGGCATTCCGTAGACGGAGAAAATTAGAATTGACATAAATGAAGTGCTTTGTGAGCGGCTTACTCACGTTCTGGCCGCGTGCATTTTCTGCGGCCAGCTAGTAAGCCGTTTGCACGCAGTATAACGAGGAGAATTAAAATGTAGGGAGAGTAGTTTTGCTTCTAGAAGAAGCCGTTTAGCACCATTTCTAAATAAATTGGGCAGGAGGTTATTCGAGATATATAAAGACATACGGTATCATTAACGAGGCAAATGACTTCAGGGTGGAAAAGAAATAGTTAGCAAACGTTGGTTGAAAGTCTGTAGCAATTATATGGCCTAAACTCCCACAAGTCTCCTGTAGCTCAGTGGTAGAGCGTCCGACTCCCACAAGTCTCCTGTAGCTCAGTGGTAGAGCGTCCGACTCCCACAACTCTCCTGTAGATCAGTGGTAGAGCGTCCGACTCCCACAAGTCTCCTGTAGCTCAGTGGTAGAGCGTCCTACCGGTGTGTGGAAGGTCATAGGTTCGACTCCTGTTGAGAGAACTAGCTTGTGTCAGTAACTGAATAATATCTTTCTCATTCTAATTAGTTTACAACTTGTTTGGACTAGTGTCATATATAGTAGAAACAAGACTTTCACCTTCGTGTATGATAACAAAGAATTTTATATATTACCTTACTATCTCCAGTATAACATTTCTGATATCGTGTACAAAGATATTTACTGAGAACACTTTTAATTTATTTATTATATAATATATTGCAATAAAGAAGCATTTATAAATATTAAAATGTGTTTGTCTTGCGAGGTTCTTTCTTGATTTCAATTACAGTGAAATTCCCTTTTAAAAAACAAACACTCACGTATGGAAGATCGAGAACAACTTCACATCATCCCACACAAATATAAAAGTAGAACACGTTATTTCCATGGTGTATTGCAACAAAGCCGAATAAAGTCGAACCTCCACTAACGGCCACCTCTCCACAATGGCCAGGATTTTTCGTCCCGACCGTGTGACGATCCATACATTTTGTTCTTATTGAAACCTCCCTACAACGGCCAGGTAATTCTGCTCCAGGGTGGCCGAAGTCACACGAAGCTAGAATCCCGTAGCTACGAAGCCAGATAATTGTCGCAAGTAAACATGTAAATGAATGAACAAGGTGCCCGCTTTTGAAAGATAGATGTTCACTTGCTCGCATGCATGCGACTTCAAAACCTCACGGACAACAGTGCTACGGAGATTTACTTTTTTGGTCCTAACACTTTTACCACTCGATTGACCACGCAACTCTGGGAAGCAATGAATTAAAAAAGAAACGGTATAAAGTAAACGAAAAAGTCCCACAAACCTTTTAAGTTGCACTTCCTCGTTTGTCTTTCATTTGAGGAACTCCAAGCAATTCCCATATCTTGAATAGTTTAGAATAAATCTCTCTCTCCGCAAAAAACACGTTTGAAGGCAATGATTTTTTTGCGACTGGATTTCTTTCCTTTGTGACATAAACAAAGAAGGGAAAACGCGCGCGCAAAAGTCAACCAATCACATTCGCTCTGATCCAAGCGCGCGCAAAAGTCAGCCAATCACATTCGCTCTGATCCAAGCGCGCGTATTGGTAGAAATTCCGGCGCATGGCTTATTTGCCTGCTCCCCATATCTGCAATTTAATTTTTTTTACCCAGGGGGGCACGAGTGAATTCAAATAATCATGCGATAAAGGCTGGTTTTCACTAGCGACATAAGCACATAAGCTAGTGAGGACAGCAGCAACATAAGCATAAACATATTTTAAAAGCACAAGCATATAAAGAAGAACGAACACACTTGTTCTTCTCATGTTTCCTCACTAAAATCACCGTAGCATAAGCATAAGCACAATATGAACAAACAAGTTTATTTTTCTTATGCTTATTAAACTGATTTGATATTTTACTTCAGAATCTCGCGAATCTCTAGTTCCATTCAGTTTGTCTATCGATGTCAGAACTTTATAGTATCCTCAGCTGAATATGTAAAGGAAGCGTTCACATCCAAAGAGAAATTTGGTCATTTCACGTTGTTGTTTTGCAGAGGACGGTAGAACGCACGTGCAGAGCTAAGCTTTAATATATTTTATCTATATATTTTATCTATTAGAATACAGACCCACGGTCAAATGGAAACTATTTGTTTTAAATAATTACAGAGATATTCGCTTCTGAATTTTCACTTGAACGCACGCTAAATAAGCCGATAAAAAATTCCAACAACACTTTTAGGGCGACAGTGTTTTCATGCACCCAAATAAAGCTTTGTGAAAACTAAACTACAGCTCAACTCAGCGAATGTTTCGAAAAGCACACATTTAAACTGTTAGAAACTAACCTCCATTCCTTTCTGACCTTCCTGATATGAGGAAAACTAATGCTGCGCTGCCTGCAGCCCTGCACATTCGCTTCACGGCGAACCGGATAATCCCGCTCTAATTTCTCGGATTCTCTTCATAATTCAAGGAGTCCATCATGTTTGCTTCCAAGAGTTTAACCAAGTTTAAAATTCGCATTAACTATTGATCTACATTGATTTTACTACGGAATATTTCCAGTTTGATGAAAATGTTTCTCTGTTTTCGAGACACGCGGCGATGCAAAGGATTCGCGTTGGAGGAACTTGGAGCAGGGCGCCCCGTGTTTTCCCGCCATTCGTGGACGTCATTCGTCCGTCTGTACTTTTTATAGACGACGGCCCTAAACCAATCACAGCGCGAGTTTTACACAGAAAATTGTACCGTATATTAATCCACAAGAAATCTTCATTACCGAGGCTCTTGATAATGTATTGTAGAAATTGTAGAATCCACATGGGTGAATTTTCGATAAGTTCCTCCTACTCACTTGACTCCAAAAGGCGAAGATGCGATAACTTGCGTGACAATGACTACTCACGCGATATGTGACGAGGAACCGGGTCACGAAGTCACGAACGCCCTTGCAATTGGTACTCGTGGGTGTTTGTGTTTACACAGGTCAAGACGGGTCAAAAACGAACGCAGATTTGTTCGATTTTGCTGTTTTGTGAAAGGAAGGTAAGCTTATTCATTGAAAAGACAGTACAGTAGGCTCCGTATATTAAGTAGAGGTTCACATGGGTTTCTGCTATTGACAAGGAAATAAGGCAGAAGTCTGTAGTTACAGATGAGTTTTATCATAGGAAACCAACTTTTTCCTGCGTGCATGAAATACAAACAGATGACAAACGCCACTACAGTGATCAGTGTTGATTACTGCAGTTCTAAGTTTCCTTATAATTTGCTTTCTTCGCTATTTCCAACCACTCCGGCTTGCTAACATACTGAGAAACTCAAAGGCAATTTTTGTGTACATTTATAAAACCCAGGAATATGGGGACCTCCCAGTAATACTGGGGGGGGGGGGGGGGGGGGGGGGGGGGGTGGGGGTACTCCAGATATAGCCCACATCAGTGATGCCTCCCTCCCAATAGGGTATGGATTTAAGGCTACAGATGGAGTTGTAACATTAACTGCATCGTTGATTGTTACTTTCAACACACTAGATTATAGAACATTTCCAGCAACCTATATATGATGATGTCACATCAGGCAAGTCTACAGACATCCAGTGACACTGTAGAAGATGCAACCAAAAGCTACTTACTTGGTCTCAATCAAAAGAAAGTGGGTGACTTCAAATCTGCCCTTCAATCAATCCAGCACTCGTTGGACATCAGGCTGAAATTATTAGGCGAGCATAAGGATACGGCATGCAGTTATTATTCACTCGCCCTAACTCAAGATGCTGCAGGAGATTTCAAATCTGCCATTAGGTCACATCAAAGAGCTGTGGATATCAGGGTGAAGGTATTAGGGAACACCTAGATACTGCATGGAGCTACTATTGCTTGGGAATCACACAGAAAAAATCAGGGGATATCCAAGCTGCGCTTCAATCGCATCAACACGCTTTAGACTTGAGGGTCAAACTACTGGGAGATCACAAAGATACTGGTTCAAGTTACTTCTCTATTGCTCTAATACAGAACACCTTAGGAGACCAACAAGGTGCTCTTCAGTCGCATCAAAGAGCTCTTGACATAAGGCTTAAGGTACTTGACGCACATACAGACACCGCCTGGAGTTGCTATTCACTTGGGCTCGTCCAGAAAGCGCTAGGAGATATGGCGCCTCATGTCAATCGCACCTTCTTGGTTTAAATATGAGATTGAAATTATTGGGTGAACACGCCGATACTGCATCAAGTTACTTTTCTCTTGGCTGTTACAGAGGGCTATGGGTGACGACATCAATGCTGCACTGGTATATCACTACAAAGCCCTGGAGATACGACTCAAGTTGTTAGGTGAACATATCACTTTTTGAAAAAATATTAAATGAACTTTTAGGATGACAGATCCAGATCAAGATGGGTGGCTAAATTTTTTGTGGGGGGGGGGGGGGGGATGAAAAATTTTATAATATAATTTTAATCATGCATTCAATGCTTGATTATATTTGTTTACCAGCTGTGTTTTGAGAATTGAGCCTGTGATCAGCTCCGATCCCCTTCAAGGGTGTTTATATTCTATTTGTCCCCATTTAGGTAACCATGCTGATACCGCTCTTAGCTCTTATTGCCTGGGTAATACTGAGAGTGCGGTGAACAACCATGCTGGTGCGTTACAGTCCCATCAGCGAGCGCTGGATATCAGAATGAAGCTGCTTGGGGACCACACAGACACTGTAACAGCCTATCTGGCGGTCATTGCAGACTTGGGAAAACTTGGTGACACAGGAAGGATGAAGGAGTTGAAGCTTAAGTGCGATGAGATGCAAAGACCGTTTAGCTAAGAAGAAGAGTAAACCTCACGCTGAAGCTGGTGAGTAATCAACAAAATGTTTCATAACATTGGAAATGGTCCAGGAACTGCACATGCAGGAAACAAATTCCCACATGGATTTAGTGACCCTCCCCCCCTCAGATGCCTTGTTCTACAAAAGTATCCTGACTCGTACAACAGTGTAGAATGATGCACTGAGGGGGAGGGGGTCAATAAGTCCATGTTGAAAATGAAAAGAAGTACAGTCGAACCCCGATTAAGCGGCCACCCTCGGGGAAATGGCAAGTGGCTGCTTAATAGGGGTTGGCCGCTTAATCGGGGTTTTATTTACAGTATTATACTGATATTGGGACTTTGATAGCTGGCCGCTTAATCGGGGTTGGCCGCTTAATCGGGGTTCAACTGTATGACAAGAACTACTTGTCGTTTTAGAAATGGTACCTGTTAGGGAGAAAATGAATTTGAGCCACGCCCACAAAACAAGATTTTTGTACCTTTTAGGGGTTCTTTTCAAAATTTCCGATGATCACTATACATGGGAGTTCCCCCGGGATTAATTTCACAGCTTAATTGAATTAGTTTTCCATTTTACAGCAAAATTACCAACAGTGAAGTCTGTAGCCTCTTCAACAACTTCCCCAGAAGTGTTCATCTCTTACCAATGGGGATCCAGAGAAGTTGCACTGGAGTTAAAAACAAGGCTTG